TTCAGTGACATTTTATGATATTTTTATAATTTATAAACATACGGTCTATTATAAAAATGCTAAACAAAGAAGTCGTTATACATTCATACACTAAGTTTGCATTATAGCTATTTGTAACTAATTGAATGCACATTGAATGCTGGTGTAAAGAATCACATGACCAGAGCTGTTTCATTCTGAACGATGACTTCTGTTAAACCTCCATCAATAGAAATATGAAAAACATGTACATAAATATAATATTGTAATATACCATTAATATATTATTAAATTATGATCACAATATATATATATATATATATATATATATATTCCAGCAGTTAAATTTGTGATCAGTGGGGAAGTCCAATGCCTTATTTTGAATAAGGAACTGATTGAGGCACATTATGAAAAAAAAAATAGATTTCAAAGTATTATTACATTAAATGAAAGTGAAGGATTTTATTATTGGATTTTCACCTACAATTTCCTGATAATAAGAAAAGCTTCAAAGTTTCTATTGGGTCTTATTGAGGAACTTTTTTTTCCTGTGGTAGTTTCCCATCGATAACAACTGTGACCAGGAATAAAACACACTTTCAGTAACTTTTCTGAGCCTTTATTGGAAAAGGCATAATAAAATAATATTAAATGGGTTCAGAATCTGAAATTCAGATAATAACTAACTTTTACTATATACAGTGTTCACTTTTACATTAGGTAAGCAGCGAACATCATTGCATCATTAAATTTTTGGCTCATAACCTACAAAACAAGTCATTAGTCGCTTCCCAAAAGACATTGGTGCTCATCGTGTGATTAAGAGAATACTTTATTGTGACCGCCATGCCTTCTGAAGTGACACAAATTAATGTACAGTGTATTTTTTTGTTTTAGTGATAAGCGCTTGCGTCACTTCTGAGTCAAGGTTAAAGTTGCATAAGGAACAGCCTGATTCACAAGTATAATTCTCATACAAGTATAATACATTTACAGGTGGATTTGATTGGCAGCAACTCTCTGAAATAGGATCTTGAGTAGTTTTTCTTGAAAACTACAATTTTAACGTATTAAAGCAACGTCATTCTTTGGATTTTATTATTGGATTTTCCCCTACAATTTCCTGATAATAAGAAAAGCTTAAGTTTCTATTGGGTCTTATTGAGGAACTTTTTTTTCCTGTGGTAGTTTCCCATCGATAACAACTGTGACCAGGAATAAAACACACTTTCAGTAACTTTTCTGAGCCTTTATTGGAAAAGGCATAATAAAATAATATTAAATGGGTTCAGAATCTGAAATTCAGATAATAACTAACTTTTACTATATACAGTGTTCACTTTTACATTAGGTAAGCAGCGAACATCATTGCATCATTAAATTTTTGGCTCATAACCTACAAAACAAGTCATTAGTCGCTTCCCAAAAGACATTGGTGCTCATCGTGTGATAAAG